TTCGACTTCAGCATCCGAGAATTCAGTATCAAGTTTTGCAATCGTTCAACTTTTGATCCCATCACCCATTTCTTCAAAACTTGTGGGCTCTCTTGGATCACTTCACACATTCTCTTATCTGCAGCATGCAAGGCTAAACGCAATGTGTTGGGTTTCTTCAATCTACATGAACCAAGCATTAGTGGGTGAGAACGGAAAATATTCTGAATCTCATGTGCCTCCATCTGGATCTCATTCAAGAACAGAAAGCAATGCCTTAAATTTGAAAAGAATTCCTCAAATTCCATTTGTGGAAATTCCAAAAACATAGAACATATCTGATTCATCGTGGATCCAAATTTGAGGAGGAAACCGATTAGCAAATATATCCTATCCACTGAATCCTCAAAGAAAATCCCCAGATGCCGGCTTATGAGTCCACCTAGCTGCTCCTCATTGTAACCTGCATGCCTAAATAAGTTGAGCAGTGCAAGCAACTTGCTCCAGTCATAAGAACTCTTCTCAGACAAATGCTCCTCAATCCTACTGATATCAACCCCCTCTTTTCTCAATATCTCTAATACCTTGATAAAGTCTGCATTCACCTCTCCAATCAAAAGGTAAGGGCTACATACAACCAACTTCATCATAAAAGACTGGCCAAGCCCCAATTCCTCATAAGCTTTTAGTTTCAGCACCAGGACCCCATAATCATACCTGAAAACTTCCGCGGCTTCCTTATAAATCTTTCCTATCTTACTTCTTGCAATCCCATAATTACACAAAACATGATAATTCTCTAAAAGTAAATCATCGTCACATAAAAACATCAGATCACGTGGAAGAAGAGGATTATAATCATGAGGTTTTAGACCCAAACTCTCAAAGAAAGGCTCAAATTCATTAATAGGGTGAAAACACAAGTAACGGGTAATGGACTGCCCGATATCTGCATCAATATCAACCTTTGCTAATAACTTTTCAAGAAAATGAGGTGAATTTTTACTCATATTCTCTGCATCCGTAAACTGTATGTTTCTAGTGAAGTGCAGATACTCTAATAACGCAGCCTGGGCTTCTGTCCTAGAAACTGGGCTTATGCTTTGTCCATTTGCAGTTTGAACTATCCTCTTGGTACTATAGAACCTAGGGTTTTCTGCAATGTTGAATAATGACACCATTGAGGACAACGGGGTTTTGTTGCTACCAACAAAATTGGATGAAACCCATTTGAAGATTTTAAATTTGCCAAAGAGGGTCATGGCTATTTTGATGAGAAATGAAGAACGGTGATAGCTAGAGAGTTAACAAACAAAAAGAAGGGCTAAAGTAAGATACATTCACTATAAATGTATAAAAGCGAGTTTCTTACCTTATTAGTGTGGTACGCTTGGTGAGCTTAGTGATTGCTAAGAGAGATTGGGAGATATAGGGGGCAGTATTTCTTCTCTCTCTAACTGGTTCAGTGGAGCAAAGCATAGAACTTGGAACGGGCTGCAGAGCTGCAAGTCCTCACTCCTCAAGGGTTTATGGAGGATGAAAGCTAAATAGAGATTGGGGAGAGGCTATTTTTGCCTCAATAGCATAAAACTAGCTATGAAGGAATCCTCTAACTTTCTTCCTACACTTCACCCTTTTTCCTATTACACTTTACCCCATGACGTTAAGACTTCTAATTTTAAAAGCCCACCCCCCCCAAAAAAAAAATGATGATTTTTTGCCTTGGACTGTTTGTTTTGCGTTTGGAAAAATATTTTTTGCCTTGAACTGTTTGTTTTGCGTTTGGAAAAATATTTAAATATATTTTTAAAATATATCTACTTAAAAAAATATTGAATTTATATTTTTTAATGTTTTTTTATTGGTTTTGATATATTAATATCAAAAACATGTTTTTTAATTGGTTTTGATATATTAATATCAAAAACAAAAAATAATATGAAAAAATTATTTTAATAGTACTTCAATAATAAACACACCAAGTGATTGTGTACAAAATAATTTTAATGCTAGCTTAATTCTAGCTGTTGTTATTAAATTATATTGATGAATTTAATACTGTCTAACAACTCGTATGAGATATATGAAAGAGTATTTAGTTTTGTGGTAAATATCTTTTGTCCAATCACATAAAAAAGTCATTTAGTTAATTAACTGACTTCTATCAATTGAATTAAGCTCCACATATAATTTCGTTTTAAATTTTAATTATATAGAAACTAAAGTAATATATATTTTTTTTATTTATAAAGATATGTATTTTATTTATTTTGTATGTAAAAACATATCTCATAACAGTTTTAACTAATATATATTTTTTTAAACCTATTTAAAAAAAAACACAATTAAAGTTATTTTTTTAAAACCCTTTTTTTTTAAATTGCAACTCAAAAAAAACCCACAGTGCCAAACACCCATAAAATTTATCAATTATTAATAGACCATTCAAATAAAAAATTACCTTTTTTATTTTAAATTGCAACTAAAAAAAAACCCACAATGCCAAACACCCATAAAATTTATCAACTATTAATAGACCATTCAAATAAAAAATTATTATGAGTTAATTTTAGAACTATGATAGGCAATTTAGGCTAGAAAGAAATTCAGGTCATAAGATTTTAAAATTGATTTATTATGTCGGGTTTAATAATAATATCAAATAATTTTTTAAAATTTTATATTTCATTTTTTCTTTTGATTGATTTTTTTTTAAATTTTATCCTTTAATATTTAGATAGTTTTGAATTGGTATAAAAAATTAATTTCAATTTACTTTTTATGAGATTATTGCAATGTCAAATAAATATTTTAGTTGATGTTCAATTTTACAAATATTTATTTTAGTTATCATATTTTAGGGTAAAAAATAATTTTTTAAAAACAGTTTTTAAAATTTATAAATCCCACGATCTAAGTTATGAGTTTAGTAGTTTAAATTAGGAAACCGGAATCTATATAATATATTTTCATCTCTATATATTTTTTAAAAAATATCATCTTGATTTTTTTAAACCATATCATATTTTTATTGGTTGTATAGGTTATTTTTGAATTTATCAAATCAACTAAATTATATCAAAATAATTTTTATACAGTTAATTTGAAATTCGAGCAGGAAGAACTCAATATTAGCATATAAAATCAAGTTTAATAAAAATGTCAGATAGTTATTTCTACCTAGAATTCTTCTTTTATGTTCGAAGTTTTTTAATCTACTGCAATATAGCACAAATCGAGAAACTAGTATTAGCTAAGCAAATTTCTAGTTAAGAAAAAAAGTTTTTTTCTTGGCATTATATCATATTGTTTTTTTTTTTTTAAATTATAAGGTTAATAGACTGCTAGATTTAATTAATAAAGAGCTGATCAAATATTCATTATGACTTCCCCCCTGAAACTTATTTGGATCGATTTTGTTTTGACTTCCACTATGGTTTTAAACAATCGTGAAGCACTGATACGTTTTACATGTAGAAGCAGGACGTAATGCTGATCAATCAGAGGTTTAGGACTAGGGGATGTTCTTGCTTCCAACTTCATATCAATAATCGATGTTATTTAGGTAGTGTTTGATTGCTGTGTCGAGTTAAATACGTAGGAGATATAAGAGATATGTTATTTTATTTATTTTTATTTTGAAAATATAAAATTTTTAAAACTTTGGGGATAGAACGGACATGTGAATAATAATAGCATGGCAGAAGCTCTGAAATGAGAATACACTTGAAACTCCATTACCTGCCAGCAGCAGCACAATTTTGCTGACCCTTTCCTGAATTTGTTCAAAGTTTATTAACGGAGGCTTGTTGATCTACAGGTAAGGCAACGATTTATGTGTAAAGCCCATCAGCTCAAAGATCATCAACCCTTTCTTTTTCTTTTTCTACCATGTGCCAGCTCTTATTGCTCCTTCTGTCATAGAAACAATCAGCAAGTAAGAGCTCTCTAACAGCATTTTGGACATAGAGATCACCTCCCCTGCGATGTTGTTAATAGTTCCAGTCCAATCGATGAAAACCATTTAAATTTTAAAAGCAAGGAAACCAGCACAAAAGCTGTAAAATGAAAGTTTCAAGACTTCAAAAGGGGTGCTGTGACTAAGAATGGGGTTGACGCACAACAGAGAATCGCAAAGGATCTACCCTTCTATCCTTTTCTTCCCGCAGCCTTCACCCTATCCTCAAAGCGCCACTGCCAGTAACACAATCTTCACCGTGACTGACGCCAAACGAACCTATGTGGTATCTCACAAAAACACTGTGAGCTGCCACAGTCGATTGTGTTTTGCTTGCCTTCCTCTCCTTTCCTTCTTGATAATTCTAAAAACCTTCAGTTTTTTCCCTTAAGTACAGTTTTTTCCCTTAAGTATCACAACGATTTGCAACACAAACTAACTTATACATGCTTATAGATAAAAGGTGATACTGCAAAGCCTCCGTTTCATTCTGACTGACCACAATATCATTGCCTCCAGTAAAACTACTTCCAGTTTATGTGTGTGAGCTTTTCATGGCAAGAAACAAATTTGGTTTAGGCTGCCTTCCTTTCTTCCTCATGCCTTACCCAAGCTTTCTACGCCAAAAATGATTGACTGGAGTCGACGCGCCATGGTCCCCATGATTAGAAATGCATCATCAGTTTGATTCTTCATTTATGAGTCAGGCTTAATTTTAATGGAGGCAAATATTCAATTATTTTGTCCTGTTATTTGCCTAGCTTGATGTCACCTGTTAATTGTCTTTTCAAAAAAATAAAAATCTGACAAGGCCCTAATTAAAAAGGAGATTAAGAAAAATAAACTGCACGAAGTAGTAGTTGGAAGAGGTCAGGTTGGGTTCTTAGGGTTTGGATAATGATGTCTTGGTTGTTCTGGAGTACAAGGCTGTAAAGCTTAATTTAACTATCATTTTATCATTGCTATCACTACAATTAACTTATTATTCAAGTAATCATTATTTTATCATAATTGCCACCAATACCATCACCACAACAACTGACTACGATCATCAATATCATCATTTTTATCACAAAAGGTACAATTTTCTCATCTTATTACTATCACACGAAAACTTGAGAATAATATATATTTTACTGTCAACAATATTGTTCAGAAATAAACAGGTTCCAATTAGAAAGTATAAAGATACATTGCAATGGGAAAATTCATGTTGTTGCCTAAAATTACCCGGTTAATAATTATAATGCATTGAGATGGTAAAATGGAAAGGAAAAAAGAATACATCAAGTATCGAAATTTCGGTTTCTTAGCCATTCTAAGGTTCCCAGGACTTCCTATGTCATCAAATCATCACAACTCGATGACATTAACCACTGCACTGGGGAAGCACGAGTTCTCTTCATTGCAACTCTACTGGAGGGCTTGGATTAGAAAGATCAGGATGTGATGCAAATTTCTGAGGATAAGTGCACTACATGGGTAACGCTGTCAGCAGATGCTTGAACTCCTGCATCCATCCTGCTGCTGCAGTTGGTGCAGAGAACAGCACTGCATTTGTCTAGATTTGCTCTTGCGGGTATAGGAACGCTTCACAATAATAGTTCATTCCTGCAACCAAAACAACAGAAAAGGTTTCTCTTTATGAAGGTAGCAATAAATTAAGATCGACAAAGAATCTGATGTTGATCATTTGGGTAGCATGCATGTAATTCGCAACCCATTTATAAAACATGACATTCAAGATACATCTATTGTTTAGAACTTGAGAGCCTCTAAATATAGTTGGTAGATATTGCATTATCAATAAGTATAAAAGAAGAATCCTTTTCCATGCATCAAATTGACACCAAAGAAAATCGTAGTTGAAGGTGAAGTTTGGATGAGTTCCAGACACTCAATTTCCAAATCAGGCCATTCGACTCCATAGTCCCTAATTATTATCTACTGTGGAGGGGATATCAGATACTGTCCAAACTGCAGCAGCAAAGATATTTTATAAAAGCTTCTAAAACTCAGAAGCTTAAATACACAACCTCAATTCAACAAGAAACTGTCTGTAGCTCATTATATTAATGTCTTTCGGAGAAACTTTTTCATTCCTTATAGACTTCATTCTGCAAGTATAATGTTCTTATTATCATACTTAACCTTTCTTCTATGGCTTGCTACATTTGAAATGGAGAAAGATAGTGTATTCCAATATAACCTTTTGTTGATGCCCTGCATTTAAGTACGGTACAAAAGCATTTGTGCAAAAAAGGCAAACAGAAAATAAAAAAAATCAGTAGTTCATGTTGATTGAGAAATTCCCTTTTCTAAGGAATCATCATGTATAGAACAACAAAAAAGGAAAAGGCACACTGTTAGGATCAGTTGACGAATTATTATCAGATTTACTCCAAGCACCTTGTGCATCTCATCTGTGGCCTTCTTTACAGCTTCCACTGTCTTGCATGTAACAAAAGCACAAAACCAAACTCTGCATGCAAAAAGGGAAAAATAAGATAATGACATCATGAATAAAAAAATTCACAGTTGAATAAACAGGCATTAATGCTGTCTCCTCGTTTTATAAAAACACTGTTTAAATATGTGTGCATTGTTTACAGTTAAGCACAGTATTCAAGAAAAAACCCAAATTAAAACCAACCTACCAAATACACAACCAACTTCAAGATTCCACTGCAAATAGCTCATTGTTTATGAAGGTAGTATGACTACCTGCCATTCCCAGAGGTGTTACTGGTCAAAGTAGAAGGGGTCTTTCTCCATGGCAGCTGGTAAATAGGAAATCTGAGATTGTGCAGGATATGTAGAAGGTGCTCCAAGAGAACTCAGGAGAGAAAAACGTTGTATTATCTTCAATATAAGATGTCTGAATACAACAACATCAATAAAAATTTCTGGCTTGTAAGAATAAAAGAATCAAACATCTTCAGACTAGGCAATTAACAGAGGCAGAAGCATGGAAATACAAGTTATGTGCAGCAGATGGCTTCTATGCAGAACAAATTTCTTTCTTTAAATCCTCCCAAATTTCTGGGCCTCTAGGATGACGATCTACATACTGACTAAGGAACACATTATCTGTGCAACCAACTATAGTGCTGAAGGAAAGCATAGGATTAACTTTTCCCTGCTCTTTGAGCCAAGTATACATTGTTAACCTAAGCTTAGCTCTTTGCATTGTGTAAGAGAGATAGGAAGGGAATCTGACCAAAGATGATACGGGAAAACCCAAATCATTTATGAGAAAATCAATCTTCGTTTCAATAACTTCCTTTTTCTGATTAAGAATTTGAGGGGATACTTTTATCATTTCACAAACATCCTTTCTATCCAAACCAGCTATCACAAGACAATCAAATCTCTCCTGAAGCTCTGCTCCTCTGCCCCGGAAAACCTTAAGTGCTCTTTTCATTTCATCTGAGTTCTCTACAAATCCCAAGTCTAAGAAGAACTTAGTCTTCAGCATTTGAGATCTTAGTTCCTCACCCGAGTCTGGTAACCATTCAATTTTTGATCCCTTCACCCATTTCTTCATAATTTCTGGATTCTCCTGGATGACTTCACAAATTCGCTTCTTCCCAGCATTCAGACGAGAAAGCAAACTGTTGGTTTTCTTCAACGTAAATGAACCTATAAATATAGGGCGAGAACGAAAAAGCTTCCCAATCTCATATGCCTCCATATTGATCTCATTCAAGAACAGAAAGCAATGCCTCAAATTTGAGGCAAATTTCTCAACCTGTACCTTGGGAAACTGCAGAAACAAGGAACATATCTGGTTCATCGTGGATCCAAATTTAAGCAGGAGCCCAATTAGCAAAAGAGCCCTATCCACTGAATCCTCACGCAGAATCCATGGCTTCTGGGTTATCAGCTCACTTAACTGCTCATCATTGTAACCTGCCTTGCCAAATAAGTTTAGAAGTGAAAGCAACTGGCTCCAGTTGTAAGTGCTCTTATCCGACAAAAGCTTCTCAATTCTACGGTACTCAAGTCCCCCTTTCCTCAATAACTCCAATATCTTGATAAAGTCAATGTTCGCATCTCCAATCAAAAGATCAGGGCTACGGACAACCACCTTGGCTATAAAAGAAGAGCTAAGCCCCAGCTTCTCATAAGCTTTGAGTTTCAATGCCAGGACCCCATAATCATATCGAAAAACTTCTGTTGCTTCCTTATAAATCTTTCCCATCTTATTTCTCGCAATCCCATAATTACACATCACATGATAATTCTCAAGCAGCAAATCATCGTCACTCAAATACATCAGATCACGTGGAAGAAGAGAACTATACTCTTGAGGTTTTAAACCCATACTTTCAAAGAAAATCTCAAATTCATTAATCGGGTGGTAACGCAAGTAACGGGTAATGGACCGCCTAATATCTGCATCAATATTAACCTTCTTTAGTAGGTTTTTAACAAAAACAGGTGAGTATTTGCTCATATGCTCTGCATCCAAAAACTGAAAACTTCTAGTGGAGTGCAAATACTCCAGTAATGCAGTTGAAGCCTGGGCTTCCCTTCTAGCTGCATCAGAGATTTTGCTAATGCTTTGATCATTACCTATCAAATTTCTATCCAAATTCTCATTTTGAACCGTTGTTTTTGTCCCATAGAACCTAGGGTTTTCTACAATGTAGCACAAAGAACCCACTTGCCATATTGGGTTTCTGCATCTACCAACAAAATTGGGAGAAACCCTCTTCAAAATTTGGAGTTTGCGCAAATGGTTCATGGCTAACTCGAAAGAAATAACGTCTAGAGCTTGATAGAGATTCAACAAATAAGCACAACAGAAGTTCCAATGACTACAATAGTTTTTGTCGACTTTCTTACCTTGTTAGAATGGTGGGTTTTTTGAGTTCATGGCTAACTCGCCAAGTATGAAGCTCTGGTTGCTGAGCGGCCCGTGCAAGAGAGTGAATAGTGTGTCCATGAATCTAATGTCAAAAGCATTCTTAGTTAATTGCAAGAGGTACCCTCCAATGTTTTCTAAATTATTTCTTACACCCAAACATTTTTTGAGATTGTAGTGTCATATCGAGACCTTTTCTTCGTTGAGATTAGACCTGTTCATGGGCAACCCGGTCAGCCTGTAACGGGCGGGCCTGGGCACGGATTTCTGGCCCATAGGCCCCGCCAGACCTCTAACCAAGCCGGTCTCGGGGCTGTCAGTTTTTGAACCAGGTGGTGATCGCACCAGGTCGCATAAAAATAATAAAACCCCACTTTTCCTGAATTTCTTCCTTTAGCTACTCCTGTTAGGGAAAGCTGCCGCTGCATGCATATATATATTTTTACAAAATGTTAAAAAAAATTAATTTTTTAAGTAATATTATTTTAATAAATTTTAAAATAAAAAATATTTTAAAAAATAACAATTAACGCAACATAAAAAAAACTCCTCTTCACTCCTTCGCTTCTACAAAAAAATCTGTTTAAACTGTATTAGCAGTGAAATACTTAAGAATATATTAAAATATTTTTAATATAAACATATCAAAATAATTTAAAAATATATAAAAAAATATTATTATCTTTTAAATCACATTTTTCAAAACACAGCTTGCACCGAACGTGTCTTACTTAAGATAACATCGTTGCTTGAAGACATCGCACTCATGCGTCAATTATTTACATTCAGAATAAGTGAATTCATGAATTCTTCAATGAGGATCCAATTGAGGGCGAAATCAGTTCAGACCAAATTGAAAATTACTGTATCCAGTGGGGGCCTGTATGAGGTCCCAGGAAGAAAAACAACATGTGCATTAGAGGTTTTTAGTCAAGTTAATCTAAAGTCTGTAGAAGCCTCCCTCCTCGAGGTTCTCAACTTCCAGCGAGAGACACCATAAGCGGAATCTGTCTCCTGGAGATGCCTGTCCCCTCCAATCTAATATTAGAGAGGTAGTGACTAATGAAGTATGCTGAGTCCTTGGAAAAGAAGGGGGAAAGGGGCAAACGAAAATAAAAATAAAAATAAAAATAAAAATCATCTAGTATCAAAATTTCACTTTGTTTGCCTTTCTGAGCCTCTCAACAGCTACTGTCTCATAGAGCCATCCACAGCTCCACTTGACAACATAAAAAGTACCACATTAGGGAGGCATAGGCCTTAGTAGCACTGAAATTGCATTGAGAATAGGTCACTGTTTAGGGTAGTAATAGGGGGGGTAGCCACCCATTCCGACAGGTGGTGCTGGTGAATGCCCTAATGGTTCTTTCTTCGATGGAACTTGTACATAGGAAATCTGAGATTGTGTTGGGTATGGAGCAGGTGCAACTGGAGGATTAGGGTATGAAGAAGCTGGATATGGTGCTACAGTTTGAGGATAAGGATATCCAACAGGGGTACCACTGCCAGCGGGTGCTTTTCCTGGCTGTGCATATCCACCTGCTCCCATTGGTACTTGTAGGGGAACCATGGGTGCTGGTAAATGCGTTTGTACTGTTTTGCTCCTGTGGGTATCAGCAAGCTTCACAATGATTGTTCTTCCCTGCAGCCAACCAAACAAAATGACGTTAGTTTGATAACACAGAATTTGATCAACCAAGAGATCAAAATTTGTCACTCATGTGGCTTGTGCTCCTTTCCAGATAGGAACACAATTAAAGAGACCTGCATCTAGGACAAGCACTTTACAACCCGCTTGACAAAAACAAGACACTTGAGAGATCTCTTGCTTAGAAATTTGAAGCTCCTGATAAATACCAGAATAAATTAATAAGAATAGAAGTAGAGTCCCATTCTATGTTGAGTGGACACCACCGAAATTTATAGCAGGAGGGCAAAATCGAATGACCTTGAAGACCGTGTGTGTGTGTGTGTGTCTATATATATATATATATATACACTGAAGGACGAACACCGATTGCTGCCCAAAATGCAGTAGGAAAGTTAATCTATAACAGGTCCTGGTCTAAAACTTAAATCAATTTAACAAAGCCTTTGTCCAAACTACTTGGGGTAGGCTCATAGCTCCAATGTTTCAGCAAACACAACCACTGTTTTTTAGAGAATCTTACACCTTGTTGGACATTACAGCAAGCATCAAGTTCGTTTTCTTTCCTTTTCCTGGGAGAAGCAAACATCACTTATAACCCATCTTCGTTGTATGGCATTTTGATATAAAGAAAAATAACTCATGAATAAGGAATTAGAGAGCAAACTTGACAAACACATTCCAGCAGCCACAAAATGAAAATAAAAATTCACAATTTTATGATGTTTAAGAACTTTCCTCCTCTAAAGATTTATGTATTAGAACAATAAATAAGGTCACTATTATGACCACCTCTAGGGAATTATCGTTAACTTACCCCAAATAACTTGTGTGGATCATCAATGGCCTTCTTTGAAGCCTCCACTGTCTTGTATGTAACAAAACCAAACCCACTGTATATGAAAGGGAAAAGAAAACAACCTTCAAAAGTTTGAAGACTTAGGCACTGGGAAAAAGTTAAAAATAGCAAGTATCTCTTGATGAACAGAGAAAGAAAATGGCATTTTACCGTGATTCATTAGTATCTTTGTCATACGCAACTGAGCCTTCCTCAATATCCCCATATCTTCCAAAAAAATTAAGCAGCATCTCACTTGAGATCTCTGGCGACAAACCCCCAATGTAGAGTTTCCTCTGGGCTAGATCAGGTGTGGTGCTTGCACCAGTTAATCCCTCGCAAGCTAGATTGCAGACAGCCATCCGACTCTGGAATCAGAACACAAATAACTAATTATAAAAATCTCAAGATTATGAAAATGTGTGAAAACAGCACAAATGTGTAACTAGAGAAGTTACATGGAGTCTGGGACTTTCTTGCTTAGCTGAGAAAAAGCCTTGGCATCACAAATTAATATCCTAGCTACCTACAGAGTGTAATGACAGCCATGCGATAACAAACACTACCTCTGCTTCATACTTAAAGTACATCTTAGACGAGCAACATTTTGGGTGAACTTAACCAGTCACAGATCTAAACAATGCTTTCTAAAATTTCACCTCAAGTATGGTTGTTTATAACATTTGGCCATATTATGTACTTAAAAACAACAGGATAATTCACAGTTCATTAAATTTCCCGAGTTCAATTTTCTCAAAGCAGATCGATGTGCTAATGAAGCTCTGTATGATACATGAGTGTTCAGTTCATAATTCTGTTCTTTTAATCATGTCATATTTCATCTTCCATAACCCAATTATACTTATTACTTGGAATCTATGCCCTTACAAACAGATCACCCATGCAGGCAGTACGGGATTGTGCACAGAAAGAAACACACAAATCATGCATGCAAGAACTTAAAAACAACCACTTACATCAATCAATCTGCTGGGTGCTCCTAGTGCACTTTGTGCTGATTCCATATGCTTGTATGTAATGAAACCATAACCACGTGACTTTCCTGTCACTTTGTCATAGATCACAGCTCCTTCTTCTATCTCTCCATGCATTTGAAATGCCTGGAACAATAGCATACAGCACTTAGACATGAGAAAGATTTAGAATAGTAAGCAAAAAATCAAAGAGAAGAGCGTGTAAAAGAGTATTTTCCATGTGAAAAAACTCAAGGCAAAACTTGTATCATGTGGGACAATCATCACCATGGCACACAAAAAAGACACTCAGCAACCAGCAATGCACTCACAGCACACAAGGTTTCTGAAGTGGTGTTCCAGGCCAAGCCACGGACAAAAAGCTTTCGATGGACAGGATCTGCACTGGCAAGACCTTTAATTTCTTCTGCAATTGAAGGATATTGGGACCCTCTTTATGCCTCAACATGCAAGCAAACACACATGCACAGTGTCAATCACACAGCATACAGTTGAAGAACCACCCACAAACCCCCAATCAGCATGACAAGTGGAACATTCTCACAAAGGCACTGATATATTCAGTGCATGCAAACTCACGCGCACAAACAAGCAGAGAACAAAGAAGCAACAAATACGGTTCCAGAGCTGTTTTCTTCATAGAAAGTTGTAGCATCTAAAGATGATGCCGAACAATAAATAATAAAATTAACTCAAGAACAGAAAGAAGCTTTTAGAAAAGAAAGAAGCTGAAGAAGAGAAGGAAGGGGATCTGCACAAGGGCTCAAACTCTCTCGTATAAATCTCTTTTGTAACAACTCACATACTTGCCTTTGCAATTCAGCATGTTCACTCGGGTTTATCCTATAGTGAGGCAAGTTTGGTAATGTAGCTTCAGGGATAAAATCTATGGCGTGTTGAACATCATGCATAGGGGGGAAAACATCAGGTAATTC